CTCCTGTAATTATTTGCTCATGCTACTGCTGGCAGAAGAGCCCCTTCTAGAGAGAGCTCGAGAGAGCCATTTCTCGTTGGTATTAGACCTACTCTGTGTTTAGTTTGTTGTCCTTCCCCCACACCGATTAACACGGATGTCTATGTACGGTGCGAAAGAAGTTCAACAAACACAAACTTTACTCATTGGCTGTGTCGGGTGTTGGCGGGTTAACGACACATTTATATTTACGTGATATAACCCAAAAAAAACCCCTCCATTATGGATACACATACGAAGACAAAGATCCCCCGTATAACTTAACAGACTGTTGGGGCAAGTGCTGTTAGCGAGCACCTATGAAGGCCCGACCGCCTTCGTCTTTCCAGTGGCGATGTTCTTTTTTACACACCTCACCAGGTACTAATTTGAGGCTGAGTCGACCTAGGGGAGGCCCAGGACCGGTTCAGATAATCGTCACTGGTATTGGCCGTGAGCGAGAATCCAACTCGGGTCGCCGGGCTCATAGCGCAGCGCGCTAAACACTACACACTACCGCTCCCCACACACATACAACAGACATCCTGGCAAAGGTGGGAGTGAGGACCCACACTTTTCACAAGCTCATGCAACCTGATGATCGACTAACTATGGTGCACCCATTTATACTGCTCGGTATACAGAGGCGAGGCAAGGGGAAATTAAGAAACTTTCCGCATTGTTTCAACTGCTGGCATTGGGAGATTGAACCTGTAACCTCTGTATTGCGGGTCCAGTATGTTAGCATTACACCACTGCAGCTTTCCAAAAGGGGAATAAGCCTTTTTAACTGGTCCAGCAACACATTTTTGTGAAAAATACAAATATATGACTCAAATGAGAATTTTAACGGTTAATCATAGAAAAAATGGTAATTCGACAGAAAATATCCACAATACCTCGTGGCCTTATTTTGTCCCACTTGGTATGCAATTAAAATTTAAATTGTACAATTATTACTGGACAAATGATTGTTCGTGCGATCGCCACCACTATAAGCGTCGCTATAAAAATGGTAATAACTACGGCGAGGAAAACATTCCAATTGCCTATTACGGTGTCATAATATAGCTGCGTGCGTTATTGTCTCGTTCAAGGTTAAAACAAGCTATCGCCTTCGCCGCCGTGCATATAATCATTGTACTGTCAGCTTTACGGTCATTAAGTATGCTTGCATGGCACATTAAGTTGACATACCTTAGAGCCAAAGCCGCACGAACATTTTACAATGAGTAAAGGGGGATAGTGGCCCTCCCTCACCTGCCCTCCTCGACACGGCGAGGTGCCTGCCCTCCGTCCGGCCCTGCTGACGTCAGCCGATGATGACCCTGGGTCGGCTGCTGAGCCGTGACACTCTTAAGTCTTCCAAAGCTGCTGCAGAAAGCGTCCGCGCTGCGTCTTCTTGTCTTTACCGATCCACCAAGCGTGGATTATCCACCGCCCTTTCTGCCACCTGACTTTCCCACGCACCCCGGTCTCATCTCTTCACGTTAATTGAACGTTTCATTATTTAACGGGGCGGCATCCCATCAAAAGCCATTATGTCATTGGCAAGCAAGAACTGGGGTAACCAACCATCGTTACATAATCTTGATTTGAAGCTTTCGTGACTGCAGAAATCCATACTCATTGGTTCTTTCGGTAAAGTCACGGAGGTATAAAATAAATAACGACGTTTCGATTGCAACACAAGCTGAACTAGCTAGTTCAGCAGTTCCACTGCTGGATTATATTTTTTCCGCCAGAGGACGACCGCTTGTGTTGCGATCGAAACGTCGTAATTTATTTTATTTTATACCTACGTTACTTTACCGAAAGAACCAAAGAGTATCGTTACATAAGTAGGGTTATTTTTATTTGCGACTCGTTTTGTTCACTTGTGATCCTCACGGTATCCCCAAGACTCGATATCACGAGGGTCCTGCGTGGGATGTTTGGCCAGTTATCTTGTATTTGTGGCTCGGAGGAAACCAGAGTAGCCCAGAGAAAATCCACGCACATCAGTAGCTGACAATTCAAGCGCCACCGAGATGGGTCAGCAGTCGTCAACCTATTTGCTGTACACGCTTCTGCAGTACCTCCCTGCTACGGCAGGTGGGTGTTTATACCGATAACTCGTTATTTGATATAATTCCCCCAAGAATAATGACTTTTGACGTTCAAAAAAATCACTGGATGACATAACAATCATCATAATCGTCAGCCATGTGTGAAGCCACTGCTGGATGAAGACCTAACCAGCTGCTACCATCTCTTGCGATCCTGTGATGTAAAACAATCCACCCAGCATTTGCACACGAAATCTTATTTGGCAGAATATTACTTGTATTGAAAACAAAGACAAAATAAAGGATTCATTTGGATCAGGTAAGTTATTTATCTGATTCAGTTGACCATTTTATTGGGTGCTGCCATTGCTGTTGTAATTCCCTTTATCCAGAAAAGCCTCACCGAGTCTCAAGACAACACAGACGCTTTTTTTCCAGGAGGTTCCTGCATTGGGATGTTTGGCTAATCCAATTAACAAGCGTTTAGTATCAATATCAGGGAGGGAATATAGGCTGTACGTTGTGTAGATGTAAGCGGTAGCCAATAAATAATAATGTGCCAGTAATATTTTCATTTCCCGCAAGTATAAATACTCCTCAACCAATTAGCAGGCACAGTGACCTCGTAGCGGTCGGGATGTGGTGGGGGGGGGGGAAGGTGTAGCACAGGGAATGCATGTCATTGGTGGATGTGGACGGAGGTGTGGTTTTAACGAGACTTAAGGAATAATTACATGAAATGAATTCAAGCCAACATGTTAACATCTTTAACGAGACTCGCCATCGGTGTTGAAACAGAAACATAATTTTCCCTTGGACGAATCATCTGGACCGCACCCAGCCTCAACACATGTCCAAAGTTGAGCAGTTTTCAGCATGGATACTGCTTGGGTACAGCAGGGGTTTAGGCTTCTGCAGGGCTGCACTGTCAGCAGAGGGCATTGTATAAAAGAAAAAAACAGTTGTACTGTACTATGTTTCCACATCTATGCACCCCATCTTTACCAACCCACACTGACCAGCGTGGTGAAGTGGAGTCAAACAACCCCCACAAACCCCAACAGGATTGGGGAGGCCCTCATCCAGCAGTGGATTGACAAACGGGCCATGCATGTCTTGTATGTGGATCTCTTCAGCAAATATGCATCACATTTGTACAATTTTACTCATATAAGAATCGGACTTCGACAGCAGCGACGAGGTTTGAGTCGGCGTGACACCCCATCTCCACTGTCACTGAGCGTGCTGGTGTATCGGCATGGCAAGTCAATGCAACGATTTCCCCATGACATTCCTTTAGCCTGCAAATGGCTTGGATAAGTGTGCACATTTAATCAATGAATATTGCCACGGGAATGTAGTTAATTCACGTGCTGACCAATTCTTCCTTGTCTCCTAATTTCCACTCGTCCACGGCAGCTTACGTTGGATCTGCGTTCAGCTCATTTCGGGAGTATCTCCCGTGGTGTAGCTATCACGGTGTGTGGGCAGTGTGTGTAGGCAGTACAATTGCACCAGGGTCCCAGATGCCAGCCTCCATAAATGGGTGATAATTGACAGGGGACCACATTTAAATCTTTGCACCACAGACAATGCCATCAACTGGGGTGAGTGCAATGGGCAGAGCGCTCCAGAGCACTTTTCTATTGAACGTCCCGTGAGCCCAGAGTTCTAACGGTCTGAGAAGCTGCCTCGCTGAGAGTGAAGGTGGGCATATCAAGATCAAACCAATTGGAGGCGTTGTACCTTCCTGTGAACTCTCGATTCATGGACGGAACGCGTGGGCTTATTGGCTGAGCGGGTGCATAATGCCGCACCACCACCATTGCGAGGCGCTCGGCGTGCCAACGCACGGTTCAAGAAGAGCTAACGTCCACCTTGTAGTCGCACCACTGCAGAGCGCTCTGCAGTGGTGCGACTACAAGGTGCTCTCGCCCGGTTCAAATGTTCGTGGTCTGGTGTCCATTTGCATCTCCATTGGTCGCCCTGATCCAGCAGTGGAAGTTCCACATTCCTGTGGCTCAAAAACGGATCGAGGTTCCACAAAGCGATATATATTTTAACAACCCCAGCCGCTCGGCTGTTTGTGTTTGGTAAATTTAAAACATGTCCAAAGCAGCACACCATTCCCATAGAACAGGGTTCTTCCACTGGTGGCCCACATGCCGGTGTGTTGGTTTCGACTGGTTAGTTTTGCATCGTGGAATAACGATTTTCCTTCATACGGCCTGACAAAATAAAAGCCTTTGCTTTGTATGTATATTGAACTTCTTTTGCATTGTGCGTAGCTAACCGGAACATAAGATAATCTACTGCTATTTGTAAACCCCCAAACAAAATGGCCACTGTCTTTTGAATCTAATTGCTAAATATACAATTCCATACTTAAATATTAACAAATAGACCGTTGTTCCGATAGAAAAATTTCACAAGAATACAAAGGACAATACAATATCAGTACACCTACAATTGCAGTGCACTGATATGTGTTTTGAAATGTATCTCTCTACGGCCAAAAGTACGATCCACTGTATTGGGTCGCACGTAAATGGGAAGACTAATATCTGGTTATGAAAACAGGCGACAGAGGAGGCGTGTAGAGTTTCACCACCGCTGTCCCCTGTATATTTAACATGCCTCATCCATCTCCTCTGTCGTGGCGGTGTTGAGTTACGAGGCACATTAGCCAAGTGGGGCCACGCCCGGTGACGTGACCGAGTCGAATGTTCTGGTCAACGCCCCCCGTGACCCAGTGTGCGGCTGTCCCCGCCGATGAGCGGTGGGGGAGTTCTGCAATAATGAGGCAGCTGGTGAGCCCCGCTCGCTAGCCCTCCTCTCGCACAGGCCACGGGCGCCTGCGACTGTAAGAGCCCTTTCTGTGGTGCGGCGCAGCGAGCGGGGACGACGAACCCTGCGCTCTTTCGCGTGATTGCAACGTGCCATGCTGCCGTGGGTCCTTCATGCTGACCTGTGCCAGGCGGCGTGCAGTGCAGAGCTAATGTAGTCGTGGGCTGATTTGGCACGCAGTGGTTAAGCCAGTCTCTAGGATGAACGGTGCTGTGCTTAAAATATCTTGCCCCTCCTTCCCAAGAAAATACAGGGATTAATGATTTGAAATGGGCATTTAGCAATGGTAGTAACATGTTTTTTACACATATATACGAGCCTACAGTTCATGCAATTTGCATGCCATATCTACATGTTCCTGCTTTAATAGCCTTTCTGGCAAGCCGTTAAGGCCACTAATTGTACGGTTCAGTAGGCAGAAGTAACCAAGCGGAGTTAGAAAGGGGCAGGGGGGTGGCTGGGGAGGAGGGGACATAGTGGGAGGGACCGAGACCTTGGAGATTTCGTGGCTCGCAAAGCGTGGGGACAAGATGCGAGCTGGAACGGCCCAGGGCCATTCTTTGGCCACCGGATCTGCTTGCGCGTGGCCGTGGCCTTGTAGCAGCACAGGCCGTGGCTTGCAAATGCTGCTGCGTTGCGATTACAGATGTACGTCGCACACTTCCTAAAACAAAAACTGTCAGCATCTCCTCTGGATGAAACACCATGAACGCACGCATGCATGCAACACCAGCCCCAGCGCGGTGATGCACGTACACATACTATATTTGCACCGAGCGTAGGGATTTCGGAACGCCTCTGTTTGCATGCCTGGGCTCCTTAATTAAAAGGAGGGCCCTGTAGGAAAAAACAAGGTAGGGATATTTTGCTAATGCAATTTGATTAACATGCTCAGGCAATTAGGTACTTCAGTGGGCTCCTCGGCCAAGTGGGGGGGGGGGGGGGGATGCAGCAGCTACTTCGTAAGCAGCTTTCACTTGTCACGCCGCTGGGGAGCCGATGGGCGGCAGCGTGCTCTCCATCGAGCCAGGTTTCGTCAGCGATTCGACTCCCACGGCTGACCTCCGTGCACGAACAGCCCTTTTATAATTCCGCTGCTGGATGAGAGAGAATGGCTTGACATAAGAGATGGGTGCCAGAAAGATGTAAACTACCTGAGGATATTTGCACAAGACAGAGGAAAGTGGAAACAAACGACAAAATATGCAGTGGACAACTACGGGCTATCTGCCCATGGATCATGATGATGATGCTGGATGAGGGCCCTGCCGTGCGGATCGTGGTGGTGATTGTTTTGTACTCCACCACGCTTGTCTGTGGGTTGGAAAAGGTGGTCTTAAGTATCTGGGGAAAATCACAAATGTTTTCCATCTCGTAAGAATTGAGGCGACCCATCTGATGGCATTATTGGCAAGGGTAGAGAGCAAGGAATCCCTCACTGATGTCGCTGCGATCGCTGCCCTATACCACTCGGCTTGCTCAGCACAAGCAAGCAACCTCTTGAGTACCCCACGAATCTACAGGAGCATTCCACTCTGCATCAGCCTCGTGAGCCATTTCCAAATTCACTGAAACAGTTGATAAAAAAAACTGCTGAGCACAGGCCCAAAGGTCCATAATTTCAAGCAGCCAGCAACAAGCAGCACGCACAGTCGCAATAGATACGAATGTGACATGTTCCCTGAATTGAGCTTTGTCCTGAAATATGCAACGAATATCTCTCGCCTATCAGCAGGCGCTTTTCAACTAAACTAATTTCTTTAGAATAGCTTTTTGTGTTTTAATTGTTGTTCTTCCCCCGCACCCCCGATTAGCACGGTTGGCTATGTACGGTGAGAAAGAAGGTCAACATACATAATACATACCTTGAGATGCACAATGCTTGGTGTGGGCGCTTTTGTAAATATCCGCAGTGCACTGTGAAGGTGCTCGTCCGTCTGTTATCGCAGGATGTAATTGTAGCCATGCATTTGTGGGGAGTATCGTGGAATTGCAGTTTATTGGTGCATTGCTCTAAAGTCTTGGCAAAGTGCTTTCAATTTTTACTCGGCTCACACCAGCGAGGGCTTGGTGTCTATATCTGTGACGGGCCTCCCCTGGGTCAGCGCGCTCTTAAAACAGTTCCGGCGCTGTGCTCTGTCAACACCAATGAGTGTCGGAGACACGGAGGCAGCTCCGAAGTGTTTCTGCACAGCCCCAGCCTTCCCCACATCACCGGTTGTGAGGAAATTCACAGCGTTTCGGTTTGGCCGTTCCGTCTTCTTGATGGTTCGCGGCGGTACACGTCTATACACACACGCACACACACGCGGGCGGGCACGTGCGCAAACATGTACCCATGATAATACAAACACATTCCATGTACATATACGCTCACTCACTCACTCACCTACTTAGTCACTGAACCGATCACTCAGCCACTCATACGCCCACCCACCTAACCACTTAACTACCCACTCACACGCCCACCCACCTAACCACTTAACTACCCACTCACAGCACCCACCTAACCACTTAACTACCCACTCACACGCCCACCCACCTAACCACTTAACTACCCACTCACCAACCCAATCACTGATTCGTTCACGTTGACTCGCACTCAGGGAGACATTCCAGCGCTGCCTACCAGCACGCGGTACTGTCATCACATCCAAGGGAAATGCACAACAGCAGCACAGTGGGTTCATATGCGGTGCGTGGCAAGGGCTAACAAGGTTTAGCCCACTAAAATCCATTCAAGGCTGAGTTGACCTAGAGGAGGTCCAAAGCAGGTTCAGAAAACACTTTCTACTGTTGTCATTCGTGGTCGGCAATCAAATCGAGGTTGCTGGGTTCAGAGCACGGGTTGCAAACGGCTGTAACACCACACGAACACTGGAGCGCAGACGTGCTGCCATGCCGTCAGCAGCAGGATGGGTTCTGTATGGTGCATCGATTCATCGCTTAGAATCCAGTCTGACACTCGTGATACATGCCTCAAAACATCGCGCGCGTTCGAAAATTGATCATTTTCAATTGCTATATGGACCCGAAGCACGAGAATTGACAAATGGAACAAAAGATTAAAAGTGCGTAAAGAAGCATGAAGAGGTGCATTCTTGGAATTGAAATGAGAGATGAAAAGAGAAACGCGTGCGTTCGAGAACGTACACAAGCTAGAGGCATCATCCAAAATAGAGCATTTTGGGTTTCATCACGTAAATATAAATGCCTCGTTAAAGCTGCCACCAACCCGACACAGCCAATTAGTAAGGTTTCTCACGTCAACAAAACATACGTGTTGGAGAGTAAACCCACAACATTTACAATTTGAGGCATCGTTTTTATTGTTTAAGAACAGCAGGTGGATTTGAGCAGCAGGACATGTCGCTTGAAGGTATGCTGGCCAAGAGGAACGATGGAGTGGCATGTAAAGGAGCGAACACACTCGTGTGCAGGGGCTAGATGGATTGTTGCATTGTGTTGCTGTGAAACATAGTGATGATGGCTTGGGAAAGCTTTCATCCAGCAGTGGATAATTCATGGCTGATGATGATGATTATATGCCGTGTGTATAATTAGTTAATGTAATGTCTGCCGCAACTCGAGATTTTACGTGCACTGCATTGCAAGACAACAACACAAATTGATTCAGGATTGAATTGCAACCCCTCAATCAGAGCAATTGGATCAGAAGGGGGCCTGGGGTGCTGATGGGGGGGGGGGCAGTGAGCGAGTGGTGGGGGGGGGGTGAATCATAACACGCAAACTCAACCGCTCTCCTACTTTCTGCAGTTCCCTCGGAAGGTGCGGGGCTAGCGAATGTGCGCCACGTTCAGGCAGATTGACCGCTTTACCCACTTTCTCTTGTGTTGCTCCCCTGCTATGGAGCGCCTGGCCCAGTCTCGTTCGTAACTCGTAGCTTATAGACAACGGCGGTGTGGTGTAAACCCTGCCTCAAGGCGCGATAGTTCTCTCTTGCTAGAGGTTCTCTCAACTGGCGTACTGTGGTGGCGAGATGATAGCTACCTCGCCTGGTATACAGGAAGTCGTGGGTTTGATCCTGACCCTGACGCCTGTACAGGAACACCTCGCACTTTCGCTTGGTTCGGGACCAGAGCATGGACGAATGTCAAAGCAGAGCCGTTATTTAGCTTCTAAATTTATTTTGGCCGGCGAAAAACGTACATGCAAATAACTACAGTAAATATAAAAACGTACGTACAAATAACTACAGGAACTATATAACACATGCGTGCGAAACATAAATAAACAGAAATAAAATAAAAATAAACTTAAGTATAAATAAAAACTAGATAAATATCCAAAACGAAATAAATAAACAAAATTATACCTTTAAATATGTTTTATTCTTGCGTAAGTAAACACTGTAGTATTATACTGTTATCACAAAACAACTACTAATTGTTTGCAGTATAATCACAGAAATAAGTACAGTATTAATAATATATGAATAAACACAAATATAAGAGACGCTCACTGAACGACTTCCATTCAAAGACTGAACAAAAAAGACGGCGCATGGCGCGAAAGTCGTGGAAGGTTTGGGATGAAATCGGACGAAATTTGAAATGTGCTTGTAAATGAAAACGACCGAATGAGCGAAGCGACGAAAGTCAAGTTTACGGAAGTCAAGGTATCGCTGTATATTTTGAGTTTGTATGTTCTCCCCGTGGCCATGTGGATATTTTTCCGGGTCCTTCAGTTTTTCCCTCCACATTTAGAACTATTAGTTAAAAGTATTTGGCTGCTGCTATAAATGTCCACGTGGTGATGAGCCACTTGGTTGAGCTGTCATTTACGGCCACGTCCCTTCTGAAAAAGAGCTACGTAGCTCAGTGGGCCTTGCCTGGTAAAATAAAAAATAGTAATTAGCGCCTATAATTATTACAGCACCTTGAGTACATTGCAGAAAGGTGTTTGTACGTCTAATTTTCTATTATTAATAATAATATTACCTTGTGTCGTCGTCCCAGGTCAACAGACTACGTGAACGGCTTCTATCCGACAGCCAGCGTCGCTGGGCAGCTGTTGGCATTGTGCTCCAACGCGGCCGTGCCTGCGTCCTCCCGTCTTGCATTCACGAGTGGCACGCATTTTGCGGTAATTCGTTGACGACAGCCCGCGAAGCACCAATGGATTGATCGCTGCCTGCTCCGATTTTAGAAAGGAAATGGGCCTTGTTTCAGTTTGGGCCGAATTTGGAAGTAAAATAGCTGAACCTGAAATCATTATCACAAAATGTTCTCATGTTGTTAGCCAGAGTGTGTCACAGATGCCTAGAAACATGTGATGTCCTGCGTCTTAGAAAGCTGGGCTGACTGCAACGACCTGCAACCTTGTGTGTGAACGCGCACGTTTTATTATTCTATTTATCTATTAAGTGCAAAACGCCTAAACAAGACGTTTCTCAACATCAACAGTGTGAATTTCAAATTATGCAAAGTAAACGAAGGCCTGGTTCCACTTCCTCTTGGATGGGGGGGGGGGGTGAGGGGGGCCCAGTAGAGCTGTTGTGCATGGGGGTGGGGGGCACCGTGACAGTGAATCACCGCTAAGGGGAAGAGTGATCTCAGGGGGGTGGGGGGGGGATGCCAAGGGGATATTTGGTGGCGCAGGGTCCACGCAGGGCCCTCCCCAGCACCGCCCTAGCGCCGGCCTTGCTCCCCCTCATGTGCCGTGCTGGCTGTCATAGGTGCTTGCCGATAGCACTTGCCTCAAACATTCTGTGTAGGTTACATGGGGCGTCATTGTCTCTGTGTAGTTACGTGTGAGAAGTTGTGACAAAAGCGGTTAGTGCGCTGTAGCAATGCAAACCTGCCAACTTGAGTTTGATTTCTAGATGAAGACTTCCACAAGCCGTGCGGGTCATGCCAGTTATTTGACCATACTTCACTACACTGGTAAGCGTGGGTTGGTGAATTCCAGGAGCATAAACATGGGAACATAGTACAGTACAATAATAGATTTTGCTTCAGTCACTTACCAATAGAAATGTTGCTAAGTCTCGAGATACTTTTTCAAGAGCATCCAAGTTAGGATATTTGGCCAATTCCTATGTGGTGAGAGAAAACTGAAATGCCTGAAGGAAAACTCCAGACCTATTAGGAGATACAATTCAAACTCCACGCAGATATGTGAGTAGTCTACGTACTTGCTGTAGTGCCTCCTACAGCCCCTTTATAATTCAGCAGGGGTTTATCGGGGGGAGAGTAAAGATACTCGCGGTTAAGCCAGCGACGAATGTTGAACTTCTTTCGCACCATACGTCGCCAACCTTGCTAATTGGAGGTGCGGGAATTTTGACAACTACGAGGGCGATCCTGCAATCAATCCGTGAATCTGTGGGATGCCATGTAGGTTCTAAGAATCGGGGCAACGTGATCACGTTTTTACAGGTGAGGTGAGAAATCTGGCAACGAGCGTTGGGTGAGGCTGAGCAGCCTGGCGCTCGGTCCGCATGGCCGAGGCTACGTTTGTAATGTGACGTGCCACGTGATCAGCGGAGTATCCACAAGCTTCTTATGAACACGATGGTCGTCTTAAAGAGAAATAGGTGACGCGAAAGGTGTGCCACTTCCTTAACCCTTCGGTGAAAATCGTATTTCTTTTTTTAACCACGTTTTTAACGGCTAACAGAGCAGAAAGCCTTGCTCCCATTAGAAATGGGTTGAATCAACGTCTTTGGGTTCGCCTCTTTTACTGAAAGTCAAGTCACGGTGTCTCTATCCGGGGCGCTCAGATGTTCCCAAAGGCCTGGGACAGAACGCCTTGTGGGGCACCCTCATTCCACCATGCACGACGTTTCGAATCCACATCCAAATATCTTCACGCAAAAGAGATCACTTTTTTTATTTAAAACGTACGGCGTGCATTATACAATACGCGCACATTGGTGAAATTACAATACTGTTGTTACATTTGTGAAGAAAACAGGCCCATTGTGAGGCCGTCTTTTGCGCGAGGCAAACTTGCCCTATTGTGCCCTGTCCCCCCCCTGGGCAGCTGTGTCTCTCCTAGACATCTGTGAAAAAGATCTTTACAGCTCATCGGATTTCTCTAGTATAAATAAATATTCCGAAGTGCTGAATGGGACGGTGGGTGACAACGACGGCTCGGAGTGGCCTTTATCCAGCAGGGTGACTGATGATGCCGACTAAATGGAGTGTAAGAAAATAATTTGTCATAATTTCACTCTTAGGAGAGTCACAATTCCAATCATTGAGTGCAGTTGGCATTAATCCTGAGTGCAGAGCCCACTGTCAATCCGCTGCTGGATGAAG